TTTGGTAGGCAACGGCTATGGTCGGAGTGGAGAAACCTTTAAAGTTCGGGTGGGTGAACTTTTCCGCGTCATTTCCTGGTTTCGGCCTTTCACTCGTATTCCCCTGCCGAGTTTTCGCTCGGTATCCCGATCCAAATGCCGGTCACCGGCGAAAAACGACGATTTGGCCAGGCGCGGTAAACGAAAGCCACCAGCGATTTCCATTCTTTTAAAAGTCACGCTTATTTCGGAAGATCGAAGTTGGAAAATAACCACCGACCGGACGAAATTACCCTCGGTCCTTCCCCTAGGGTGCGTCTTTTCTTTTTATTTTACTACTTTATCTTTCCATTTGGTCGATTAAAGTATTGGACCGGCGGTTAGATAGTCGACCCGGGCGCCACCTCCAACGGGAGGGTGGAGATTTCTTACTCGCCAATTTAATTGTTCCGTAGGCGAGCCCGGCGGTCTGGGCAAAAAATCTTCGTCTTTCGTTACGAAGACGACCGCCGACGCCGGGCCACGGGCGGTCGATCACCCACCGAAACCGCTCCGCCTTCTTCGGTTTTCCCATTCCTTCGGTAAGGCGGTCCGGTGAAAAACCCATTACGGGTTTCCGAGAAAATATTAAGGAATCGCCCTTCCTGATCGGGCGCCGGAAGACCCCGGGTCCGGAGCACCGGCCGAAGAAAATTTCCTCGCCGGCCCGGATCGAACCCGGATTCCGGAAGAGTCCGGGGGGACCGTGGGCGGCGCGGGGAAACGACCGAAAAATTTCCGGCCGGCGGCGGAAAGGGCGGATTTCGGAAAAACCGAAAATTAGGGCCCGGTTCCGCGCCCCTCCCACCGAGGCTAAGCGGAAGAAATAACCTGGGACGAGGAGGAAAGAATAGGGAAAACGCGGATGCCGGGGAACCGGGTCTAAACCCGTTTGGAAAGCCAGAAAAGAAATGGCTCGGCCCTCTGGCGGTCCGTCGGTCGTTAATAACGCGCCGGCGCTGCGGGCAGCTTTCCGCCTCCTCGCGCTACGCCAGAAAAAGGAATTTTAGCTTTTCCTGGTTTAAATGCTTCGGAATGCCTGGACGGCCTTTCCTCGTTACTTAAGAGCCCGGTCGGCGCTAAACTATTTCCTAATTTTACGTATTTTGTAGTACTTAAATGATCCGAAGAATCGCAATTCAGCCGCCAGTCTCGATAGCGTTTCCGGTAAAAGAACGTCGGAGGAAATGTTTCCACCGTCCCACCCATTTACTTTTAAACTTGCCGGCGGAGGATTAAGAAAGGAGTAAGACGGTCGGACCTTCGCCGACTGGCTGGCCGGCGGATTCGAACTCGTCTTCTCGGCCCCGGACAAATATAATTAAATAAATGGAAAGGAAGACGGCGGATCGACCGGCAGAAAATTACGTTACCGACGACGTTAATAGAGAATTAAATTGACAGAAAATCAATTTTGGCCAATATCCAGAGGCCGTTCCGCCCGGATAAATCCCCGATATCGGGCCGCGGCCTCGATTGTTGACTTTTTAAAATTATTTTTCGTCCGCGTAATTACGGAAAATAATCGAATTTTTGACAATTTCCTCCGCTAAACGATTAGCCGGCGTCCATAGAGAAAAGGTCCGTTTCTGCGGAATATTGGCGGAGAATTGGCCTCCGGTAGGAGAAAGGCCCTTCGTTAATCGCCGTGCCGGCACTTTCGTCTGCCCGTTTCTTCTCTACGCCTAGAACGGCGCATTTATAAAAGGAAGGCGAAAATCCCAATCCGCTTTAGTCCGGATGTAGCGGGGCAGCGATTTCGGTAAAGCGGGTCGGGAAGGCGCGAGCAGGGTTTACCCGGTTAATTTACGTAAAGTTCTTTAAAGAGAATTCGGGGCGGGGGAAACGGCGGACGGAGGACGGGCCACCGGGTTACGCGTAACCGCTTTACGGCGGTCGGGCGGGAGGACTAGGGGATAGGAGAATAGGCGTAAAGCCGGGAAGAAGAGAAGAGGGAGCGAGTATACGGGGAGAGAATCGAATAGAGGAGAAGCAGCAGCGCCGCGGCGGACGTTGGTCGGGTATCGATCGTCCCGTCGCTAGAAAATGGCGGATGGCGCAGAGAAGACGGCGGCAACTAAATGATCTGCAAATGTCTGGGCGATCAGGTAAAGTCTTTCTTCCCGCTCTTCTTCTTCTCGCCCGCGGTCCCCGGTGGCCCGGGCGGTGGTCCCCCGAACCGGAAGCGGGCGGGACCGGGGCGAAGAAAAGCTTCTTCCGCCCTCTTCGGTTAAAGGGCCTCGTCGATATTCACTTAGCCACGGAGGATTGATTGTCGCCGGCGATTGATTCCGCTCGATCGATGGCCCGGCTTTCTTTTTACGCCGACGCCGCGAATCTCCTTCCCTTCTTTTGTCTTAAACCGCCGATAAATGATTAAAACCCGGCCTCTTTATTATTTATCCCCGCCTTTAACCCGCCGACTACGGCCTTAGTCCGCTTCCCACCCGCCGCCGTTTTTCCCCACTCGTTACCTTCCGCTCTTCTTCCCGACGTCTTTTCCGACCGGAAGTACCGAAATCCGCACCGGTCGATCCAATTTCCGGTTATAAAATGGGTGGAAATGACCCCGACCGACGGCTTTCTTACGTTGGCGCGTAGCCTGGCAGCCAACTCGAACCCGTCCACTGGGAATAATTAAATTTTTGGAAATTCCTATTCCTCGTCCCCCATCCAGTTACGGGAAGGGCGCTTTCTTACCACGAAAGATGGGCGCGCTTTCCGCTCGGACGGAGGATGGTCCGTTCGCGTGTCGGTCGGCTAACGCCTGGCTTAAATCCCGTTTTCGATCGGCTTTTGTCGTCCGTCTAGACTCGGGGGGGACCGGACGTTCGGGAGCGGATCGATGACGACGTTTCCTCCGGTCCGTTCGTCGCTATAAGTCTGTTTTCGTAGACGATTTTTTGAGGTTCCGTCGGAGGAGGAGGGCTTTTTATTTTACGCTTTTCCAAAAGTGGCGGTTTAATGAAGAGGTAAACTCGTAAGTCTTGGTCAAACGACGCTTAGCCGCCCGTCGACAAAGAAACGAAATCCGCCCATGTAAGGTGGCTATTCCGAGCGCTTTTAAACCCAGCCGGTCTGTCTAAAGGGATCGTTGCGTAGATTGGCGTGTTTTTCCAGCTCGGTCTTCGGCGCGGTAATTTCTTCGTATCGAAAAACATTCCATTTACTTCGTCGTTGTATTAAATTGGAGAGAGGAGGGTGACCGTCGGAGGAGGAGCAATTTTCTTAGTTTTATATTAACCAACTCTCTCGTTTTAGAAATTTTTTTTTCGGAATAAAATTGAATTTCGGCAGCCGAGGAAAAAAAAATCGGTCTCTTCCGGAGGAGAAGAAGAGGAGGGAGATCGCTGCCGGGATCTGCCGGGAAGACTCGTCTCGTAAATAATGTTTAGCGGAGATTTATACTCCGGTCGATGCCGGCATCGTCGGTATTTCGAGTATCTGGTACTGGAAAAGTCCGTCGCAATTAACTAACTCCCGGAAAGCGGGCCGTTTTTGATAAAGGACGAGGAAAACATCGTTCTTTAATTCTTGTTTAGAAGCGGTGGAAAATACAAATAAAATTTCGGCAGGGTTTCTCTCTGAATTTTCGGGTGGCTTACCCAACGGATTGATCGATTTATGTTTTGTAAACGTTCGATAATCGATAGTAAATTAAAAATTTCTCTTGGATACAATCGATATTTATATTTTATTAATCGTTTATTAAACGTTCCGGATCGATTCTCCTTATTTTTCCTCCGTCCGCCAACCTACCGAATTAATTGGCCCAAGATCCGAAATAGGCCGCGGCAATTTTCACTATAATGCCGACTTTTTCCAATGAGTTTTGGCACTCGAACGAAGCTAAAAAACCAGTTTAACAAAAAGTTATTTTGTTAAACTTTCGACATCCGGGCAACGGAATTCGTCTTCCACCTAGGCGATAATTAAGGTATCCGGGAAAGTCGTCGGGTCCTCTTAAGTTCCGTCGACGATCGTTACTCCGGAGTAATCTCGGTTTTCTTATCGCCTGCCGATAAGACATTCGAAAGGTCCGGGTTGTAGCGTACGTCGTGGGATTTCTGCCATTTACGGGGAAAGAATTCTAAAACATCGATAATCGATAATCGTTTCGAAAATAACCGGGGATTTAGGGAAATTCTGTTACGGAAAATATAAATGGAACGTCCGAAAAGACTAGGGTGTGGAATTCCCATAGATTTTAACGTCGACGTAAGCGGACGATTAAAAGTAATCCGCCGAGAACCCGCTTTTCTTCCTAGAAACGTTCGTTTCCCGGCAGAGATCCGAAACGGGGGAAGGAGTTTGCCCCGGACGGTCGCCTACGCCCAAGAAGGCGGAATTGCGTCGGAGGACGGCATTCTCCGCTGGTAATCGACGGTTTGCGTAAAATGACCTAAACCCCGGCGGAGATCCGCGGCCAATATCTGTTCTTTCGGACGTGTAAATATCAACCCGCCGGACTTTTCTAGCGGATTTCGACCGTGGTCGGTAACGGGAGGTAAGCCACGACGTCCTTTCCCTCCAGGCGGGCGGCGGATATTCCGCGGATAACAGACTTATCGTCTGTTCGAATCTCTTATCCGAAATAAGCGCATTTTCGATAAGACGTCGATAAACGTTATAAATCTACGGAAGCAATTTCCGCATCCCCGGATAATCGTTTAGAGAATGCGAATTAGTCGAGGGAAAAGCGTAAACGCAAATATTACAAGAATATAATGGCCAGCGTTTACTCGCGCAGCTGCGAAGAGGGATTTCTCCGCGGACCATCCTTTTTTCGAGACGGAAAAGCAAAAATGTTAACGAAAGAAGGCCGAAGAGTCGTCCGTGGAAAAATACTCGGAGGAGGTGGTTCTTTCGTTCCGGATGTCGGAGAATTATCCAGACCGACGGAAGACGTTAACGCGCTTCCCGTAAATTCTCCGACGTTTGGCAAATATTTCAAACGTCCGACTTCTCGAATCTAACGAAAAGGGAAGGCGTAAAAATAAAAGTAAATACAAAGGTCATTTTGCTGCAAATTAACAATTGTTTCGGACGGTTTCGTGTCTTTTGCCGTTTAAAAGGTACTCGGCGCGGCATTTCGAAAACATCGTTGGCTTAACGCCGCCTTTTCTATTTCCGCCACGTGGCCAGAAAATGCCCCTTTCGTAAACGGGTCGGGACCTCCGCGAAATGTTTCCTATGGTAGATTAAAATATCGAAGTTTAGGGCTGGGAACTCTCCTATTGTACTAAAATCTCTAAGAAACGCAATATTTAAATTATTTGGATTACGTAAATAAGAATGGAAAGGTAATATTTTTCGTTTCCAACATTTCCTTAATTAATCGATACGTAAATAACCGTGGGGGGAACCGTCCTTTTTTCCCCGTAAGGCGAAATTTCTATATCGTTTTAAATAACGGGAACTTTTAGTTCCCGGTTGCCGGCCGACTCCGAAATTACTCGTTCGGTTCGGACGACGAAACGTACTTTCGGTTAACCCACCGAAATAATTGGATATTTCCGCTTCTCCCGCGGATGGGAAAAGCGCGCCTTGGAACGTAAAGGGAATCGCGGCATCCCCGGATTAAAAGCGGGTCTAATTTAAAAGCCGCTCCGCGCCCGTTAAAAACACGTAACGTACGAATGCGCCGGGAAAGTAGCGAATTTCTAACGGAAATTCCGTCGTCGGACGGCATTTTGGCTCGGCGTTTCTATACGCGCGTGTCTGGTTTGCGTCCAACTTTCCGCTTCTGTCGGGAAACCGGCCAAAGGTTTAGAAAAGCCACCGGATTCGGTCGAGACGCGGCGTAATAAGAAACCTTCTAGCGCCACGGTTTCCCGGCGTACCGTACCGGTGGCCGGACCGACGGCTCCCAACTACGCGTCCCGGGTATTTTCGGCTTTTGCGCGGAAAGCCGAATACGGCCGTTGGCGGATCCCTTAGGGTTTCCTTCGTCGTCCGTCTTATCGTTTATGACGTTTATCGCGCCGCCCCTCCCGTTTGTCTAACGCTTACCACCGACCGGTAATAGGGAATTACGTAAGCGTCCGGCAGCGACAACCACACGGGCCCGAGTGTCGAAAGCCGGCCAAATTCGCTTACACGTACGGCGCGGTGCAAATAGGAGAAATGGAAAAACAGTCCGTACGAAATTTGAAAGTCATTTTCGAAAGTCGTCCTCCCTTTATTACCGTGGAAATCGTCCGGGCTACCGAAAATGGATTCGTCGCGGATAGAATTCGAAAGTCGCCGCGTCATTTTACGTCGAGGAGCGAAGAACTTGCTGAGTAGGTGCCGCGCGTCATCCGCCCCGTCGCCGTGTCGGAACCAGCGATAAGTTTCTCGTTTCTTACCGCCGTCCGGATTACGGATATTTCTAACACCGGAAGTAAATATATCGGAAGAAAAGAATTCCGTAGTTTAACGTTCGAGCGCGGATGAAAGTTTTCCCTTCGTCTTACGACGAAATCATTAAACGCGGAGGGAAGATATCTCCGTACCGTACGCAGGTAAGGCCCAGTCGCCCCATAAATTGTTTCGAAACGCGTCGCGTAATTAGCCAGAGAACCCGCCTGGCGGGGCAGAGAAGCGCCCTCCGTTGAATTATTTAGTATTTTTCAAATATATATACGATTTATTCCGTTTCCCCGCCCGTATACGTCCGGCAGTTCTCCTTTCGATCCGGGTGGGTTCTTCCGGAATATTTCGTCGTCGGTGTCTAAAGTGGAAAACCTCGGCTTCCGTCGCCGTTTAAACCTTCCTTACTCGGTATATCGAGTTTGGTTCGGACGGCGACGGTCGAGGGACGAAGAGTTCGAATCGAAATATTTTGCGGTAGATTAGAGATGGCGGATATAAATAACGGAAGGCGAGGTGGGAAACCGGATAAGAAATCTTAATTGTATCGGCCGGTATTTTAAGTCGACCTATGGTAGAATATTCTACCGCGGCTATTTTACCACGTCGGTGACTTTAAGTCTATCGAAACTTTCCTTGTTCCATTGGATAATAGGGAAAAATGTCCGCGTAAAGTGGAAATTCGTACGGGACGAAGTATCCCGGTCGAGTGGTAAACTGCGTGGTACAAATTACGGGTTTGGAAGAATAGGCATTGTTGTGAAGGATGCGCATTGATAATTTGCCGATAAAATCTTCGACGCTTCTCCATTTATACAAGTATTAATTTAAAGTGGCGGACAATATTCCCGTCAAGCGCGATAGGAATAACCAGCGTTTGGATAAATGTATAATTAATTGAACTACGCTACGTATTCTTACGTAGAAATCATCGATATACCTAAAGCTCCGCTAATTAACTTAAGAATTAAACGATTCCAGATATTATTCCGGACGGAGGCGGAAAGGTTGGCCGTAAATTCCAGTTTTAAAAGACTACTTTATAGAAAATTACGTCGGTTTCCCAGGTCGGAGCGGCCGGGCCCAGAGATTCCGCCGCCCGGAAGCTCCCGATTACAGAATTTACTACGGAGTTTCGAATAAAAATCGATAGGTTAACGTCGATTTTTAATTTTCGCGGCCGCCGGAATTTCGCGTGGCCAGGTATAACGACGTCGTCGATCTAAAGGACTCGTATTAAAAAAAGGGGAAGAAAAAAATGGCCAAGCGTCGTTCTTCCTTAAGCCCGCGGGTTAGAAATTTGTAAGAGCCGACTACTTTATCCCTCCGTCCGTAATTACCAGAAATCGCCGTATTTCGAACGTAAACGGCTTTAATTTCTAAAATCTTAACGAATTATTGGGAATTAGTCGGCGTCCGAGTTGGTGGCCGCATTTATTTATCGGGCGAGAATCGCCCGTTTTGTTATCCGTAGGAAATTCTATCGGCATTTCGTCTCTAACCCACCTCCATCTCTTTATATTGTTATTTTTCTAGTTTCGGTGGCCCGAAGCGGCCGTCGGCATCGATCGAATAAACAGATTTCGACGAATTGGTTTTTTTCTTTAATCGGCAGGTGTCTTCCGCGGGAAGAAACACCGTCGGACAGTTCTTCCTTTCCATTTCTTCCGCGTCGGTTGTAAAACGTAGCTTTATTGTTTCTGTCGTCGGCATCCACCGCGCCCGTTTATATTCGTAATTGATTTTTTTGGATATTTTGCTCGGTCGCCTAATTCACCCTGCAGAGACGGGAATGGGTGGGCGGATTGCGTGGAAAATTTACGATAATTTGGTCGAAATTATTAAATATTAGGCCGGGAATCGGGTTACGCTACGGGAACGAAAGCGTCGTCCGCATCCATCTCGGCGTTTACGGCATTACCGGATAATCGAATGGCCTTTTAACTTCCGAATTAAACCGGAAGAATACGCTATCCGGACTTTTACTATGGCTTTAATCGATAGTAAAAATTGGGTTAAGCTGTAATTATTGGCCCGCCGAGCGCTCGTTCGGAGTCGTCCGTCGTAGCGGAAGGTTTAGCCAAATTCTCCGACGGAGGGGTTAAGAAGCGTTAGAAAGGAGTCGGAGATCGGCGGGTAAACGTATTAACGGGAGCGAAGCGTTAACGCAAACATTGATTTAATTGCGACCAAGAACAAATACGTAGCGGCCGCCGTACCATTTGCATAACGTATCGATTTTAGCCATCTAATGCGGCCAGTATTATTCTAGGCGCCGGCAAAATTGAAAAAATAGCCCATAAATTAATTTCGCTTTTTAACAATTTTCCTCCGATCGATGGGCCACGTCGGCCCTCCAATTTTATACCAAATAATTTCTGATCAAGAAAACAAATCCGAGGGAATCGTCGTTATAAATCCAAAACTAGCGGCGGACGGGAGACGAACGGACCCAACCCGTCGGTCGCCGCGTCTCTATCCAATACGTCACTGGAGTGACGCGTTTTTAATAGGCAAACCCCGGAAGGCGATTAAGAAAAGTATCCCGTAACATTTTTTGTTAGCGCTCAATTTCCCATCGTAATTAAATTTTCTCCTCTTTGGCCGGCTTTCTAATTACTTAAAAACTTAATTTTATAAAATGTTAGTACCGGGAAGAGCCGAAAACAATTTTCACCCCGTAAAGATTTACATTCTTACCTATCCGCGCGAAAGCCCGGACGTCGATTGTTTACATTTTCGCGCAATCTCTCTATCGCCTCTCCCTTTTATTGTCTACCTCCGTTGTTACCGAGTTTGCAAAACCCACGCGCGGCGCCTTTTCCCAAACAATCGACGGATTAAAATAAGAATAAAACAATTAAACGCTAATGTTTCTTTTACCGCAAGCGCGTAAATGAGAGGTTCGGGGGAGTAGTCTAGGAGGTCGGCGCTGGCTAACCGCCTAAATCTTTATAATTATTTGTGGCGTTGGAGGAAAAAACATAATTAGACGGCGAAATATCGACCGGAAGATTTCTTAATTGCCACGTCAGAAATTACCTTCGAATTTACTTTCGCTACTATTATTTTATCGACTTAATTGAGATACTAAACGAGAAACATTTTCACGCCTCTTCGGAGCTACGAATTGCCGAAACAGTCGAATTTTAATTAACCCGGTTTTTCTATCGGTCGTGTTTAGAACCTCCGGCGGTTCCCGTTTTTACGCGCTGTTGTCGGAGGATCGTCTACCGTCAGTTTTTACCAGTCTTCCGTTCGAAACTCCGGGGTTAGAAGAAAGGGTTCAGACCGCGGGGTCGGACGTGCCGAGTAATTTATTTATTTACGGATTTTCGAAAATAACTAGAAACCGCTTACCGACGCGTAAAGTCGTTGGTTCGCCATTTCTTTAATCGGCCGGCGTGCTTTTTATTTTTATGAAATTCGATTAAAAGACTTTGTTTGTTCCGACAGCAGGAGACAGTTTGCACCATTTCTCCGACTCTTCCTTCCCGCGGAACGATGGACAGGCGTCGGTCGTCTCAGCCATCCACCATTTCCAGCTCGGCCTGCGGAGAGAGAGACATCTGCAGAATATGTCACTGCGAGGGAGACCTGGACATGCCTTTGATATCTCCCTGTTACTGTTCCGGTAGCCTCAGATACGTTCACCAGGCCTGTCTTCAGCAATGGATCAAGAGCTCGGACACCAGGTGCTGCGAACTCTGCAAGTTCGAATTCATCATGCACACTAAAATCAAACCTTTTCGAAAGGTAAGTGCCGCCGTCTTCCCTTGTCCGTCCGGTAGGACGACGTTTATTGACCTCTTTCGCCTCGTTTCAGTGGGAGAAGCTAGAGATGTCTCCGGTGGAACAGAGGAAAGTGTTGTGTTCCATAACGTTCCACGTGGTGGCCATAACCTGCGTGGTGTGGTCTCTGTACGTTCTCATCGATCGGACGGCCGAAGAGATGAGGACGGGAGAACTGGGATGGCCTTTCTGGACGAAACTGATCGTGGTGGCCATCGGGTTTACGGGAGGACTGGTGTTTATGTACGTTCAGTGTAAGATGTACGTCCAATTATTTAAAAGGTGGAGAGCTTTCAATCGAATTATATACGTTCAAAATGTTCCAGAGAAAGCTGCCGAGTTGTCGCCGGTTACCGTCCTGGCGCCCAGAGACACCGACTCCGTCACTTCGGACAGTAAGAAGCACGGTTGTTCGCCGGTGGAAGAGTATCACAGTTGCGAAAGCGGGGACACCGGAAGTGACGTGCCCGACGAACTGCCTCCCCCCATCGTGGTGAAAGAAAACGCGGAAACGGTGGCAGTGACGCAAGTGGAGAGTGGCGAAGTGCATCAAACTAGATGAGACTCGCTGGTTTAGTCTCGCCCGTTATCTAGTCAAGTTTCGCTGTTTTTCTGCTCTAAACATAACGTTTTCGTTTGGAATAATCGAAGACTGTCGACCGACATTCCTCCTTCGTTTCTTTACGTATGCGGAATATTCGAACTTTCGTCACGTGCATAGAATAGCGTGGACGCGCGACTCGTCAATAGCCATAGTTGGGTCCGGAACGAATCCGTGGAGCGATTTTCTTTTACCAAACCAGCCGCTCGATTTTCGAACATTCAAACCTCATTAAGAAACTATATATACAAACCTATATATATATATAAACACAAGTTGTACATACGAAAGAATAAAGAGTGTTAAACATTTTTATACGTCCTACTCTCACTTTAGTTGCCATCCTTCCGACCATGGAGGAAATCGGAAACCGGAAAGGAAATAGCAAAGTTTAGACCAGCCTCGACCACCAAATACGTAAACGGAAACGGAAATATTCCGTGGCAGAGACTAGTCAATTGGTCAATCGATCTTCTCGTAAATACGCGACTAAGACGATCATCTTTCCGGACGTTTCGGCCAAGGTGGCGCTTAATTTTATAGATGGACACAAACGAATTTTAAACAAATTCTATTCAAAACTAGCGGATGAGCCCGGCCTGGCTCGGACAAAACGTAACGATAGATTAAGATTAATATTATTAGATTATAGCCGATCTTACCCGTCTTGGCCCGGTGCGAGAATTAGGTCCCCTCTTCCGAGACTAACGATAATGAAGACTGGCCGCAAAACCACTAACCACGCGTAGTACCGCTAAGTAACCCCTTCCGGGTTCTTCTTCGGGTTTACTAAATTGGAAAAATAAGTCGGATCTTCCCGAATCGTTCGTAAATATAAAATCGAAGATTAAGACGAAGAGTTGGAATAAAGCCGACTTATAGGCGCCGACTAAATATCGTGGAGAACTTTTAGAAGGGTCTAAAAGTATGTTCGATTTCCCGCATAAATGCAAAAAAGACATTTGAAATAGTACGGTCGGATTATTTCTTAACCCTCTGTCTTTCGAAAAATCCCTCGTCAGCGTACGTTCTCGTGACGTACCGTACCCTAACTGCGTACAAAATTTCAACTTTCAACTCCTAACCGTTTGGGCTGCGCGCTTATTATCATTATCGACCCATCTCGATTATATTATAAGACAAAACCGACACGAGTTTCCGACGTGGGAGAAAAGAAGATAGATTTTTGATCCTATCCGAACCCTACGATCCCGGCACTTGCGGCTACCGGGCCGTAGAGCGCTTCGTTTCTCTCCCGGGGGCGACTGGAAATACTGCCAGAAATCAAAGTCCGGATCGTTTCCTTTCTTTTTAGCAAACCCCGGGGTCGAGTTACCGTTCCTATCCGTTAACGCCATTCTTTTTAATTTTTTCCGCTCGGCGGGCATTCGAAGGGCCTTTTTAGCCGGATCCTTACCGGTCGGACCCGGCCCGGAGAAGAACGGGATCCGACGCGTCCGGAGGGAAATGTCGAAAAATTTCCGGGGGTTTTTCCACTCGTCCGGATTCCGTTCGGGCCGTCCCCTCGGCCGCCGATCAACGTAGTTAACGCGTAGAGGGCCGTTTAGCCGAGACCGGGATATAGATTCTCTTCGGACCTTCTTCACTTGTATCGGTATTGGGTATCGGGGACGATTTTAAAATAATTTCGCTCCGCCGAGAGCTCGATTCGCTCGAAGAAGGAAAGGTTCGATATACGCGGGTATCCCCGGCATAACGCGTGCCGAGAGTGTCGTCCTACGCCAATCCGCGCTACAGGAAACGAAAGACTAATGCGAAAGGCCGGAATTTAGCAAAAGTATACTATTTTTTCGTTACTAAGAGAAATGTGTTTATTAAAGCCATCGATAATTAATAAAAAATGGCAATTAAAAGTGCCGTATTACGTAATAATATTAATTTTATTTAAAGCGGGGCGTTTTCTTCTTACAAAGTATCGTCGTATTCTAAGCTTTTTAGTTCGTCTCCATCGGAAATATCGGCAACGTTTTCAGTTTTTATTTTTACCGTAAGACGCTTTTACTCGCGACAAAATAAAGTAAAAATTATTAATGGTAAATTCGTTGTAGCGGGTGGAGTTTGTACGGTTGTTTCGTCGGTCGTTCTATTGAGAATAATCGCTCGCCCACCGTTTAAAAATACTTAGTTGAAAATGTTTAAATAAATTTTACCGAATACGAAGATTAACCCGTAGAAAGAAAAGGCGGCGACGGTCTCCGGGGCTAAAGTTCCAAAGCGACGGACGAAACTAAATTCGTAAGCGCCAGATGGGGTGGGCGCCGATAGCGGCGGACGCCACTCCGGACGAAGGAGGGAGGAAGACGCCCTCGTTCCGGCTTTTTTCGATAAATGACTAAATTCGGACAGAAACCCAAGGCGGTGGGAATAGAAAAAGGCCCCGTTAGCGCCCGCCAAGCGAAAAGAGCCAAAAATAAAAGCTCCGTTTCTATCGTCGGATTGGCTTTAAAAATCGGAGAACGTCGCTTTCCTCCCATTCCATTATTAACCGGATCCGGTATACTCCCAAGCCCGGGAATATTTGGCCAACTTGATTACCTTAAATAAATACATAACATTCGTCGTTTAATCGGATTTATTTCTTTCTACGTACAGTCGACCCCCCTATAACGTGCGTTCCTATAACGGAAATTCCTATAACCTAGCGAAAAAATTGCAGCAACATTCGTATAAAGGAGCTCCTAAAACGTCGTGGCCGACTCGTTTCGCGACAAGATTGATAGAATCTGGACCAATAGTGGATGAGCAGCCGAACTACTTTCCTCCGCCCTGCGCCACGCTACGGAGCGGCTAAATTGAGTTTGCTATCGTCTGTACAGTATTATATATAAATTATATATAAATTAGGTACTGTACATATAATTATAT